TATGGTCGGCCCACTGCCACTTCAGCTTACTAATCCGTTGGGCTATGTCGGTTACTCTGGTTCTAATGCGGATATCATCATTTCTAAGTTTATAACGCAGAGAAACCCCGAGCATGGCACTCTCCATAGCTCGCTGAGCGACCTTGAGCTTTCTCATATGGCCAGCAGTGAAGGACCACGTTTTCACCACGACAGACTATTTGAATTTCGCGGGCCACCCTGGAGCTTCCACCTTAATAAAAAAAAATTAACTTTCTAATAGATAAATCTTGCATAGTATCAAATTTGTGTAACACAGAGGCAAAACAAAGATTCATCACAAGTGTGACGAATCTTTGTTTTGCAATCTTTGTATTGTTTTTCAAAAGTAAATCAGGATTGAGTAAGTACTCAAGTCTGATTTACTTTTGTATATAGAAGGACTAAAACATGCAAATAGTACACTGATCTTAATTTACAATTCAATATATGATTCAATAATTTAAATAAAGTAACAGAAAATCTGTTTTTAAGCAGGATAAGATAACCAAAGGATACACGGAGATGCTGTGTCGAAATACTGATAAGTTGATCTTTATTTGTTAATTAAAGACACGTATTAGATTGCATCGTCTAGCGATATAGAAATATCAATATAGAAGATATCGTAAGAATCTATATGAGTAATGAAATGTAAAAGATTTTATCATTTTAAAGGAGGAGATAGTGCTATTATGGCTACTAACTTTTTTAAACTTTTACTGATTGAAGTACTTTTTAATAAGGTATATTGTGCATCATATGTTTTTATCTGTTATTGTAAATTTCATTAATAGTGAAAAAAAATTAATCATTTATAATTTTTAAAATTGAGTAATATTGTGTAACGTTCGATTTTTTATGAAGATTATTTTCGATTTTATATTGTATTAATAGAAATATCAAAGGTAATAATGATACTTATTTAAAAGCAATAACATTTTTAGGTGATGGCGTCACATCTACAGCAAGCACAGCAATATTTTCAAGTACCGGGACAATCTTATTACCAAATTGCCGGAATGCCACCAGCGCAGGCAGTGCCGCGTGCTTATGAGCCGGCGGTACCTACTTCATATCAACCTGCAATTAGTTCATCGAATATTGACTATTCTTCATATCCAACACTAACATCGCCGTATTCAGAAAGAATCCGGTCGTGTAAGACCCCAGTACCAAATTCCGTCCTGCCGCCAAAACTACCTTATTCTAGTTCTATAGCATCTAAATCGACAAAATCTCCAAAAATAATACATTCAGGTTTTGACTCAAATGTTTTAAACAATTTAGCGATTGCTTTACAATTATTAATTATCAATAATTTGCTAAATACGCCGATACCAGAACACGCCCCAATACCTAATCCTTTCTCAATTCAACAAAAAACGAAGAATGAGTACGAATCAGTTCAGACTATAAATCCTCTTGCGGCTTATTATGCAACATCATCATCTTATTCTGATAGCTATCCCAATTCTCATGTACCTCTAAGTCAATCATACTTCACTAATGCTCAGTCACCTGAATATGAGGCTTATTTTGAATCAAACCCTTATGAGCAAATCTCACTTTCACAGTATTCTCTACCGAATGCCAATTATTTAGGATCTCATAACTTGGGTGGGTTATTGGGCTCGTTTGGCGTGCCTCCTGCTACAGCTAGGCCAGGTTTAAACTTGCAGTCGCCTTATGATGCTATTGTATCTACACCGTTTTCTGAAAACACGTCTTCATCGCCATTTCAATATACAAAATATGACATTCAATCACCGTATTCTGCGATTCTGGCAGCTGATTACAATAAAGATTTGTTTTCCATGGATTTTTAATATCCTTATGGTAAATTTTAGTTCGTGACATAGTGATTGAATCTATGTTAATATATTAACTTATGTTTTTAATAAAAATTTTGTTATGAATGAAAATGAGTAATCATTTTACTGCTTAATAAAAATCCTTTATTAATTTTATTAATAAAGTGCTGTAAATATGTCTTAATTGTAGTTTATGTAAGTCGAAATATATGAGGAACTTGAAAAGATTTACACCAAAAATTATCAGTTCATGGGTACCCAATTAGAATGCACAATTATTCAAGTAAACACTAAAGTAATACAACGCGTTCATTTTGTATATTCAGCAGTGGACTAATAGGCTGTAACGAACATAAACATAATTGATTCAAAACATGTTTCACATTCATATTTTCGCTGTGATATTATTTATTTTCGAAATAAATTATTTTTTTTTATTAATCTTAATAAATACATAGACTTCTGCTTTTTTTTTCTTTAGCGTTATACTTGACTGATTTATTTTTAAATTTAAAATACTATAAGAATTAAATGTCGATGAAGTTATTGGTGTTGTCAGTTTAATGACTTTGTCAACACAGAAAATTGTTAATTCGTAGTGTTCAGATTTTTGTTTTGTATAGGCTTAATAACCTATTTATTACCATGATTTCTAAGTCACCTAGAAATGTTCTTGATTTCTGATAAGTTATTGAGTCAGTGAGTGAGATTCTGTATAGTTACGGCGTAAGAGAATCCACTACCCTATAATGACCCCGTGGGTGTCGTAAGAGGCGACAGAGGGACACTGAAACTAAAATGAATATGGGAGCAGAATCTTTTCGATAACAACTCAACAATATTAAGAATTCGATCAAAGAATTTCCCACGAGGAGTGCTCTGAGGAATTGTTCGTATTAATTCCAGCCGCCAAATTTCACGAACGCACATCGCGTCAAAATTCACGATACCATACTCACCATCTGAATGCTTGGCGATCCACGACTGTGCGTTTTACTAGGAGTTTTCTTCCTCGTACAACTTCTCTGTGTTTACCACCGGCAATTTTCCGGACCTTCAAGAAAAGAGCTTACACTTTTCTAAGAGGCTGGCAACGCATCTGCAATTCCCCTGGTGTTGCGGTTGTTCATGGGCGGCGGTAGTCACTTACCATCAGGTGAGCCGCATGCTTTTTGCCCCCTCTTCTATAAAAAAAACAAACAAGGTAAAGTAGATAAAAACGTTGCGACAGGATCACGTGGTTACATAATTTGTACAAAGCATTACAAACGAATTGATCGCTCTCCGTACATGAAATCTTTAGTAGTGGTACCTCTGACATTGAATATACTGAAACCGTAAGTGCACCTTCCAAGTGAAAAATAATAGGACACTATTATTAAAAGGTAAATAAGAAAAAAATATTTATCAATAGCTACTTTATGATCAAAATTAAGTTTAAAAAGTAAAACAGTGTTTTTTACATAACAAATTACTTTCCTTTTAAAAAAAGGTACGGTTTACGATTTCCGCCGTAATGTATGTAAATCTAGAGCGGCCAAAGATTATATGGCCAAATAGTACAAGTTGGATACACTTACGCATGTCCCTTACGGTACGACTGTATCTTACGGTAATGTGTCTCTGTTAGATCTGTTAGATTATCTCTACCATTTTCATATTCATTAGCCAGGTGGTGGCGACGTTAAAGAATCCATCATACCATTTTGTTCCGTAGTTATCATAATAGGTGACTATGAGATATACTAGAAATATCTCATCACTCCCAACAGTTAGTGGCATAACTATTTTGCTTACTCCAGGTGTAAAATATAAAATATCCGCGCGGAACACTTACGGCAGACGCACTGCTGTATACTTGATTCCTAGAATCATAAATAAATTGGATCCTGAGTTTAGGAATTCTATTAATGAAAAAAATTTAAAAAACAAACTAAAGATCTTTCTAGTGAGTTCTTTGGACAGCAAAGATCGAATAGTTACATGAATAAGTATAGTAACTTTGTTTCTTCTTTTTTTTTAAAGCATAGCGAACGTAAGCACAGCAATTAAACCTCAGTGGTTTGCGCTGTGTTCAATATGTATTAAAAATTGTACATTTTATGGGTAATACATGAAAAAAAAAATTTTGCTTACTCCAGGTGTAAAATATCCAAAAATGCGACGGAATGCCGCATCAAATGTGCGGGATGTCTAGATCTGCGATCGCCAATTCCAACAAAAAAGAGTAGCTGTTAGTGCAAATTCTCACTTTAAAGAGAGAGGCACATGATCCGCAGTAAACTTTTTACGAGCCAGTGAAAATGAAGACGAAATAAGTGAAATTTTCATTATAATATTAATCGAAAGTCTTGTCTTAAATTGAGTATCAGTGTACTCGTACACTAGCTAAGTATGATCATCATCATCATCATTATTACAGTCCTGCACAAGTCCACTGGTGAATATAAGCCTCTCCCAAGGAATGCCACAAAGCACGGTCCAGAGCCACCTGCATTCACTGACTTCCTAAGTTAAGTATATACTAATTCATTTATTATTAAGGGAAAATTTTAGTGCCTTATATATATTTTATGAAATGGTATTTCAATGATCTTGTATTTAATACCCAAGTGAGTAACTTCACTTTTAGCTTGCCATTTCCCAAAACTAAATGTCTGTGGTGCCACTGTCACTGCACGATAAAAACGGACATGGCCAAATTTCAGTATTTGATTAACCAAACCACATATTATAAATATACCAAGTTTATCTATGTGAAATAAAATAATCTCTGAGAAGAACGTTTGTGACAAATATATACACAATGAATATATGTTAAACAATAGAAGTGATTCCATATGTGCTCTGTTTTGCTGATTTTGGCATAAAACATAGAACATTAATGATGTTGTCATGTCGGCAAAGCGAAGTTCATGCGGATATAGCTACCTAGTATTTAATTTACATATATTATTGATCGTTTTATGTAGTTGTTAATGAAATTTATTCTGATAAAAAAAAACTAATTGTTAGGTTGTGTGGGTAGATATTTTGAAAAAAATTACAAAAGACATTAATTAGTTCAATTGCGTATTTATTTAATCATAAATAATTTGAGTAATAATTATAAATAAAAATAAATTAACTTAATCTGAATAAATAATTTAAATAATTTTTTAAAAGTTCTTAATAATATGAAGATTGTATTTGATTCATTTTAGGACTAGGTGCAGAGCCCGGAGAGCTAAGTAATACTATATTTGGAGCATTGAACGCTGACGGTGGTGGATTTGATATAATACCAGAATTTGAAGTTGAATAACTATTAGTACTTTGACACACTGGACAACGACAAATTATCGCTATTTTGTCTAATAATGGTCCTGCCACTTGTCCAAATATAGGTCTTTTTAAAGCGTTTCGTTTTAATTTAGCTAAAGCAGCACTTTCTATTTGTGCAGCTAAGTTTCTACAGAGAATAATCTCTTCTAATGGTGTGCTGGGGCTTGGAATTCTTGGTGATACCCGTCCTGTTAATGTATCTACAATTGAAGATGTTGCTAATTCAATGGGCGATTTAGGTGAATAAGGCTGAAGTTGGTATTGCGCTGTTATAACCTGTAATGTAAGTAACAAAGTATTAAAGAAAAATTCAGAACAAATTCAAAACAGAAAGTGAAGGTATAGCTGGTAAATGTATTATTAAAACTGAAATGAAATTTAAAAAAACATGCGTGAGTGTCGTGGAACACTCGGTTGGAAGGAAGTTCCTTTCGTCGTATATCATTATTGATAAACGTATTATATTATTGATTAAAAAATACAAATAAATTAATTACTAGCGTCTATTAAAATGCAGGGTCATTTAAATAATATTTCTTTAATGGCATGATAAGAAAAAGTGCAAGGAGACGGATATTATTCCATCTCGCTAGCACTATAGAAAGGGGTTCGTGATGGAAAAATCTTACAATCTTTCTCGCCTCCTTCGTTCCAAAACACAAATAGTTTTGATATCGTGTGGTGCGTCATAAAACTATAGCGTATGAGAATCCATCTCCCTATTTCGTCCAGTGAATGTCGCTATAGGCAGCTGTAGCATATGCTAAAAAACGTAATTGCTTTCGATAACCATTTCGTTTACACTAGACGTTATATTATTCAACCGGCGAAGGGGAGGAGCTACTAATGTGCGAAGCGTCTGATTTGCGAGCGCCAATCCGCGTACCAAGCGTGACGATTTAGGCAAATCCTTTATACAACTAAAGAGGCCCATGTTTCAATAGTGGACTTTGACAGGCTGATCAAATACAGCTAATGATGACGTCATAGTTAGAAACACCTTTCAAAGACCTACCTTTAACAGTAAAGTCACAAATAAAATATTTATGAACATTTTGTCTTATTGTTTACGAAGTATGAACTCGTAACGAGTGTATCTAACAATCGAATTGTTGTTTTATACAAAAGGCTTAGATTGTAAGACAGTATTACAAAAGAAACATTTAGATGATCGTGTCTTGTCTGTATAATCCTTATCAATCATAAGAAATATCAAGTTTTTATCTTTAACTTATCACAGTATTTAAAATTATCGATTAAGAAAAGGAAGCTTTTATCTGAATGTTTAAAGTCATCTATTGCATTTTTATTGCAAAAATTACATTACGATCATCTAAGGCATTTACAAGAATATGGCCGCAGGCAAGTTTTACTTTTTTTTTATAGGATAGCGTGACAAACGAGCACACAGTCCACCTGATGGTAAGTGGTTACTGTGACTCATAGACATCTACATCTATCCTCAATAAAGACTCAGGATGAAGATGCGTTGTCACCCGTGAGGACTAAGATGGAATGCCTCTTTTCCAGTAAAAAGGGTCTCCGGTTCTCTACACTCACCATACGAAACACAGCAGCGTTAAGCTGCTATTTTACGCTGGTTTTCTGTGATAGCGTGGTCCTTCCCTGGTCGAGCCGACCCATTCGTGCTACAGTTATACTACTAATATAGCTGCAGCATGGCTCTAACTTTTTAACTTTATAATTAGTATGCTTTACCATTTTGATGGTTTCATACGAGATGGTATTACCGAGTTTACATTTTTTTATAGAATGAGGGTGACAAACGAGCACATAGCCCACAGTCACATAGTCCAGATGCGTTGCCACCGCTCAGGACTAAGATGGAGTGCCTCGTTTCCAGTAAAAAGATTCTCCGGTTCTCTACACTCACAATACGAAACACAGCAGCATTAAGCTGCTATTTTACGCTGGTTTTCTGTGAGAGCGTGGTCCTATCCTGGTCGAGCCGACCCATTCGTGCTGCAACAAGGCTTCTACCACGTAGCTTACACCCATATTCAAAAGTTTCGATATTTTTATTGTAACATAACTAGTTGTGTGAAGCGTGTTAGCAGTTGATTTAATTTTAACATTCTTATTTATATTTTCATCCTGGAAATAAATCTTCTATTAAGTATGTGGCGAGTAGCTACCATTTACTTAGGATTCTGTGATTATTAAATCCAAACCTATGTATAAGCAAAACTAAGATACGATGTACCATAATTAACAACCAAGAGCTAAGGTATAAATAACACAACGACGTCGATCATGTCTGTTTTTTTTTCCATTATCCCTTGTTACGTTCGCTGGGTAGGGTTACACGAGCATCGGGGATAATCATGATATAGTTTATTTACTGACGATACTTCCTACATTTTTAAACTTAAACGTCAATAATTTAAATGTGACGATGTGAATAATGCTATATCAAAATTAGTGCATTGGTTTTACGTTAATAATCTACTTTTAAACGGAAATAAAATTAAATGTATTAAATTTACAACATCGAATTAAAAATCTGAATATCAATGTGTTTTTAAATGGGGAAGAACTGAGCCCTGTTGAATCAACTGTTTTTCTTGGCATCACTCACGATGCAAAGCTTCAGTGAGGCCCCCATATATCCAAACTAGCAAGCAGACTAAGTTCTGCATCCTATGCTGTAAAAAAGATTAGAAACCTATAATCTTATTTACAGCATAGGCAGCATGTAAAAAAAGATTAGAGGTTCCACTGGTGTATAGACAGCTAGATTAGTTTATTTCAGTTATTTTCATAGCATAACGTTTCATGGGATTTTGCTATGAGGAAATGCGGCTGATTTAGAAACTATTTTTGTTTTACAGCAGAGGGCCATTAGAGCTATTTACAACCTAAAACCGAGAGAGTCTCTTAGAGAAAAATTTAAAGAAATAAATATATTAACTTTGGCCTCTTAGTATATTTACGAGAATTGATGTATGTTCACAAAAGCAAAGGTAGTTTTAGTAAAATAAGTGACATGTAAGTGATGTAAACACTAGGGACTAACACAAGCTAGTGATACCAGTTTCTCGACTCCACATAGTCAGTAATTTATTCTTGGGGCAAGGTAAAAGCTATTAGAACAAAGTCCCAGAAAATATATAAGCTCTTTCTATTACCAAGATTAAATATTTTACTAAACTAAAACTGTATAAAAAGTGTTATTAATAACCCCTTTGAATGAGGTGGTCGCTTCCAAGCTGTTTTTAAAATAAATATTGTAAAAAGTTATTACAAGCATTCATGTAAAATTTACTTTAATAAAAAGGTCCCGCTGGGCTTCTTGTTGGTTCTTTCCAGGACAGAGTTTTTTCGAACCAGTTGTAAAATAAAAAATTACTTTCAATAAGAATTACACATGTGATCTATATTGAATAAAAAATATTCTATTCTATTTTATTCTATCGTTACTTTCCGGTTGTAGGCTTTTCATCATCATTTTTAATTAGGTATCTTTAAAATTTCGTAATGGGGGGGGGGAGTTGCCGCGCTTGGCGAGCGGGTTAGCACCCGCAGATTTGCATTACGCAGATTTTTGATTCGCAGATGTGTGATAACCTGGTAAGACATCGATGAATGCAGGTGACTGAGGACCGTACTCTGTGGCATTCCTTGGGGGAGGCCGGCCCATGTTTAGCAGTGTACTTTATTATGATGATGATGAAGATTGATGTGAATAATTTTTTCTAAGTTTGTGCGATTTAATATTGAAGACTGCATCATCACTTATTGTCAGGTGGGATTGTTGTCAAGTACTTTTTTAAAGGGAAAATGTTGCGAATAACTGCCTCGCAGGTGCTAACGCGGGTTATGTCGACCCGCATCGCCAAAACGTCATGGTGTTCCACCTTACATTGGTTTTCCGACTTAAAAGACATTCATTAAAATATGACGAAGGGAATGATGCTATATTATAAAGTTGTACACTGGTTTAACATCAAAAATTTGCTTTTAAACAGTAATAAAATGTAATGTATTAAATTCACCACATCTAATGTTCATGTGCCTTATGGAATTCACTGTTTTCTCGGGATTACAATTGATGCGAAGCCTATATAGTTGTCGTATATTTAGACTAGCTAGGAAACTTAGTTCTGCAGCATATGCTGTAAAAATATTAATGGCTTTACATGTGTATTGAAACAGCGAGGTTAGTTTATATATTTCTATAGCATAATGTCATATGAAATCTTGCTATAGCTTAATGTGTCTGACATTGAAACTATCTTTGTTTTGCAGAAAAGAGCCATAAGAGCAATGTATAACTTAGGTGGATCCCTTAGTGGAAAATTTAAAGAAATAGATATATTATTAGCTTAGGCGTCACAGTTAATTTACGAAAATTTTATGTATGTACAAGTACACAAAAATAGTTTTACCAAAAATAATGATGTCCATTCTGTAAATATTACGAACAATCTCAAGTTAGTTACACTAGTTACTCGACTCCAAAGAGCCAGTTTACCTTCATGGGGCACTGTATACGCTTTTACAACAAAGTCTCAGAAAATATGCAAGGTGCAAGCCTTATGCAAATAAGTATAAAATAATATATCAATAAGCAAAAAATGTTTTATTAAGCAAAATTTGTTTAGTAAGGGTTATTATCTACTAAAAAGTACATGATTGATACCCCCTCACCTCATACTCCTGGGTATGAGGTGATCTCCACCATGCTGTTTCTAACTAATTATATAAAATAATACCTATATTGTAAATTAATTTTATTGAAAAAAGTGCCGCTGGGTTTCTTGTCAGTCCCTTGTTATCCCAGGTCAGAGGATTTTTTCGAACCATCAACAACCGAACCTATGATGAAGCTTAAATTACTTTCAATAAGTATTTTTGTAATTTATATTGAATAAAAAATATTCTATTATATTCTTCGCATTCTGCTCTCTTCTTGGGAAAACAACCCTTTCGCAGCAGTCCATTGTCCCGCATCTGAAATAAGCTCGCTAAATCCACTCGGAGCAGCCTTCTCAGAGGAAAGAGGGGGACAAGTTTAAAGCAAATAAAAAATATTCGCAAAATTGTTTTATTTATTATGTAGAACTCGCGTGAATATAAAAAAAAATATTCTTTAGTAAGCAAAGACATGAGCCAATTCTTTTGCAATTTTCATGACGAATTCACTATCATATTAATTTATATTTCTAAACATTTCAACTAATGTGAATGATAATAATAAATACGTAATGAGTGACTGTTGTGATAAATAGTTATCAAAATTTTATGAAATATTATTACATACATTATTAAACATTGACATGGTTAAATAAGTATATAAGGTCTACCTTTATTCCAATACAGCACAATTAGCAATACAATGTGTAAAATAATATTTTACGTTTTAGCGCTTCTCTTCATTTGCAAGGTAAAGTTAACATTGTCTTGTAAATTACCAAATTTTTAATTTGAAGTCTTAAATTAAACATATAAATTAAATTATATTAAAAGACTCGTACCGGTAAGCGAAATATGGGGCGGTCTCCCACAAGCTGGAGTGACGACCTGGTAAGTCGATGGATTCAGGTGGCTCAGCACCGTACTTCGTGGCATTCATTGTGGGAAGATCTACGTTGAACAGTGGACTTTGTAATGTGTTGAAATGATGATGACGATGAAAAATTAAATTGGGTTACATTTTTAATTTTATACATATGTACATATATTCATTTTACATTTAAATTATTTCTTACAGACTCGGGCGCAAATATGCGGCTGTGGTGGTGCTCCACTTCCACAAGAAATTTTGACGAATTCACAAATTACCAGACCGCCTACAACTATTATAGATTATTCGGTGTCGAACGCTCTCGCTAACACTTTGCAGTTGCTTATTGTCAGTGATCTAATAGCTTCAACTTTAAATCCCCACGGGACAGTATCACCGTGTATGTTACCTACCATAGGCCCAATTTGCGAATCAGTACCACCACCTATCATTTATACTCCGACAGTAGATGTAATTGCACCTAGGCCTGAATTTATTTCACCACCATGTGCTCCAATAGTGGATAT